CGGTGGGACAAGTGGCGTCCGTGGGTGTGCTCTTCCCAGGGCACTCTGACGAGGCGGGCGACTCACCATTGTCAGCATGTCAGGTCAGGTTTGCGTTGCGTGCTCAGGCTGCTGGATGCACCTCCCCTGACTGGCAGCTTGCAGACCCAGCACACCAAAGCTGAGAGGAGCTGCTTGTTTCCTGCATCTGCCCATGCCTTAGAAAGCTTCTCCATGCAAATGTTCAAGTACAAACACCCGACTTCCTCATGGCGAGCAGGGAGGATTGCGAGTTGCTTGGGCTGGTAGTGCTTTTTCCAGGAGAACAAGGCTGCGTTTGCTTCAACCCCAGGCATGGTTTGCCTGTGAGTGATCCCTTTTCCTGCCTGAGATGCTGTCCTACATGGTTTTCTAATTACAAACGAGCCGTGGAAACATTTTGTTCTCCCCTAACTGCTCTCTACAAACTGCAAAAGGCAGGATCTCCTGACCCCTGGACAGCCCTGCCACCGCTGGAAGCGAGTTCAGTAGCTCCAAATAGCGATGATACCCCTGCCAGCCTCCAGCCAGGGGATGCAGGTCCTGCCCCTGCAGGCATCTCACTGCGGCCTCTCTGCCTCTCTCTCTCTCTTCCAGCTCCTTCAGCCGTGTCCATCATGCACCAGGTCAGCCGCACCGTGGACAGCATCACCCTCACGTGGTCTCAGCCTGACCAACCCAACGGAGTCATCCTGGATTATGAGCTGCAATATTATGAGAAGGTACTGCAGGACCCTGGCAGGTTTTTGGGAGGGGAGGTGGTGCAAAGCTTTGTGTAAGGGCATGGCACTGGCCACAGCAGTTGGTTGATCCGTGGGTTGCATCGCTGGCTGTGGGTGGCAGTGGCTGGCAACCCTGTGAAGTCCAGCAGTGGTTCCACTGATGCTGCGTAGACACTGCAAGTGTGGAAAAGGTGCTGGTCTTTCGGGAGGAGCTTCTCCAGCACTTATGACAAGTGGACCTATTGCAGGGAGAGCTGGGTAGCCAGAGTCCAGGGTCTAGTTTTTCCCGTTCCTCTACTGGGGCGTTAGTGGGGAATGGGGCTGGTGGGGAGCATCTAGTCCCAGGCTGGACCACTATCTGACGCTCAGAGCATCCAGTCTGTGAGATTTTGTGTAACCGTGTCCATCCAGCGCTTTTACACTGAAGGTGAGCTTGGCATCTGTGAGCAGCAGCCTGAACCTGGGTGTTGTACTGGGGAGAAGCTGTCCCGTGTTCCCACGGAGGGAACATACTGCCCCTCTGATCTGGGGGAGGCTGATGTGAGGACAACCCATAGGTCTGGCTCTTTTACTCCTGAGGAACATGCTCCTTGCACCCTGGCCCAGCCCCAGTGAGAAGAGGGACTGCAAGCCAGGGCTGGGATAGGGTGTGTGTCCCATGGGACTGGAGTTGCATGGCTGCTGAGAGACCTGGTGACCACATCGATGGTGGTCGCAGGATCTGGGCTGGTGAACTTCATCCATGCTGCCCAAGGGAGGTGAGGAGCAGGAGATTTCTCCTTCCAGGAATCTGCCCACTTTACGCAAGAGCTTATAAACTATACATTAAAAATTGCAAACTAACTAATTAAAAAGCTTTATGATTAAATGGAACTGAAAATATTTTTCCCAGCAGTTGCTGGAAGAAATGATTAATCCCCCCCACTGCCTGCCTGTGACCTATTTTCTCATCACCAAGAGCCAGAGGGAGAACGGGGAGGGGGGGAGCTTCTTTGTAAGCTGTTAAATAGGTCCTGACCTATATTGCATAAATCACAACCGTTTCTTTGACCCTTGGAAATGATCCCAGAATATACAGCAAGATGGATGAGTAGGTAACAAGACAGATCTGGAAAGCAAGAGGGGTCCTTTCCCTGGGGACCCTCAGCGTAGAGACAGAAGATCTCAGGGAGTTCATTCTCCTCCTCTTACTTTCTCTTAATCCCTCTCCCTCATTCTTTCTTCCTCCTCCACTCTGTTTGCTGGCGGAGGCTGGAAATAAAGGGAATTTTTGTCTAAAGAGGAAGGTGCTGTTCGTGGCCGTCTTTGCAGCCAGCTGCAAGGTGAGCACCTGCTTGCCCCTTTGTCGGGGCTGAGGGCACCGCGTGGCCCTGGTCAGGGGGTCAAGTGGCCCGAGCCACGCTCGGCCACTGCTTTTCACGGCAGCCAGCTCTCAGGTGGGGCAGAGAGGATAACTGGTGCTGAGGCTGTCCTGCTATTTCATGGAATCATGGAGTGGAGCTTAAAAGGTCCTCTAGTCCAACCTCCCTGCAATGAGCAGGGACATCATCAGCGAGGTCAGGTTGCCTCATCCCACCTGACCTTGAATTTTTCCAGAGATGGGGCATCTACCACCTCTGTGGGCAGCAAGTTGTTTCTAGTGGAATTTTTTTTCCCCCAGTAGAAAATTCTATTTTCTTAACATGAAAACAGTTCAAATGTATGAATAGCAGCATACGCGTGTTGTATAAAAAGCATTTTGGCTCCTCATTTGGAATTGATTCTCTTCCATATGAAGATATAAATTATATATATAAAAAAATTGGAGTAACCGTTTTAGCATTAGCAGAAAGGAGCTGTTCACAATACCTGAAAGTAAGGTATGTTTTTGTTTCCATTTCACAGCTTATTTATAACATTGCTATTATTAGATGCTATTAAAATGTCTGTACAGAGGTAACATTATGATTTTCTTTCACATATAGTTAGAGCAAATCAGTGCAGATTGTTACACAAACCCTGAGTGACGTGTCTGCTCTCTGTGATCCTCTCCCTAATGTGTTTGGGTTTGTTTTTTACCTCCAAGAGGCACCCTCCAAGGTCTGTCCTACTGAAAAAATGAGCGTTCTCTTCATTTCGAAAAGGCACAGTAGTTTTTGTCCCAAGTTGCCAAATTCATCCTGGAGTGTGGGAACTGGAGACTCACTGCAGTGTCAAGCAAAGAATAATTAGCTCATTGTTATGCAAAATGATTAGGCTTAGCATATGCAGTTTTGTAGTTGTTTGAAGACATTCAGCCCATGCCTTGTGTCCAGTTTGGTCACCGTTGTGAATGGCTGAGAAGGCTCAGGAGCTCTTTGGTGTCTCCTTTGTTTTGAATTAAGACTTCCAAACCGAATCTGCAGGAAGAAAAAACAAACAAAAACAACAAAAGACAAACCTCTGCAACCCACAAATCTCTGCAAAAAATATCAGCTTGGATTTCAGACCACCTCGAATGCCCTGGACCTGATGGAGAAGCCCAGAGGAGCCAGAGGGGGGAAGTGTTTGAGGTGAAAGCACAGGATGCTGACGGGGAGCAGCGTGCCAAGGGGAAAGAATAGGTTTGATAAGGGAGGGTGGAGAGGTGTAAATGCTCTTTCCTTGCCATCTGGGATTAAAGGAGAGCACACTTAGGAGCACGCCTTCCTCAGACAGACAGACCTCAATTTCCCAGGCTAGAAACCTCTTGTAAGCATGCCCATTGCATTCAATTTAAAGTCCTCCAGGAGCAGGGATGAGGTTACCTCAGGCAGTTGGACAAATGATTTTAAAACAACTGTGCTGTTGGTGCCATCCAAGGGCCTGGGAGGCTTCGTCCAAGCCCTTGAGCACTAAAACTGTAAACATTTCCTGACCTATTTCTCTCCTAGCCTGCCTGGGAAAGGTCCAAGGGAGTGCTGAGGCCTGATCAGACAAAGAAGGCCATCAGTTTTCTGTGTGCTTGTCTTTTCTTCATCTTCCTTGTCTGTGCACCTGTACTTGAGCTTTTCATTGTCGTTAGCCTGATTCCCAAACACCCTGGTGATACCCAGGCACCTTCGGCCCTGGGTCCATGTGGGTAAAACTAAAGTTGCGGTTTGTAGAAGGGAAAACTGTTCCTGAACACTCTTCTTAATTTTGGAGGTCTCTCAGGCATTTGTAGAGCTGCCCTGCAGAATGATGTGCCGTCGGTATTTCCAAGCCTTTGCACACTTGGAGAAACACGTTCCTGCCAGACCATTCCTACTGGCCATCCACACCAGGGCACTGCTCAGTCAAAAGCTTAAGACAAGAAGAAATTAACTCCATGAGTGTTGTCTTTCAGCTACTTGGCAGATGTGAGGCAAATAGGCTGCACAAACCTGAGTATAATCCATCCTGCAAATGCCAGTGAGCTTGCAGTTCTGCTCCGGCACGATGACTAATTGAGGACGCAGCAGGTTCTCCCAGGAACATGAGGGAAACATTGGTTCAGCGTGGTCTGCTGCATGGAGCCCCACGGGGAATGACTGTTCTTCGGGGGCCTCTGATGTTGCTGCTACCACAGCTGCTGGCTGTGCAGAAGATCCTGAGTGAAGGCACCAGCGCTCTTCTCAGAAGTCAATGAACATGGAAGCCAAGTCACCAGATGGCTGGCAATGTGGAGAGTGGGAAAGAAAGGAGACCCCCAGCCCTCAAAGGCAAACTCCATCATTTATTGGTGGGCTGACAGCCTCTGACTTGTCCTGTGGTCCAGCAGCCCTGAGGACAGCCCCCTCTGGACAAAGGGTGTACAGAGTTGGGTGCGAGACTCTCCGTTGACTCTTCGCTGTTGCCAGCAGGCAGCCAAAGAGCACGAGGGAGCAACAGCCAGCACGACTTGCACCTATTTCTGGTGTGAGGAAACCTCGGTTCATCACAAGGTGGGACCTCCAGGCTGATTTGGGACCTTCTGTCCTTCAGGAGTCCACAAGAAGTCAGTGAGGAGGAGCGGGTGCTTTGCACCTCTCTGGGCATTTCACTCTGATCTCATGACACCAGGGGACAAGAAGAAATCCCTCCACGCCTCCGCAGTGGAGTTTCACAGCGGAGACAAAAGGCCAGTCCCTTGGTCACACCCTCAGCTCCGCTTGCTGCGATTGCACAAGCTGTGTCTGTCTGCTTCCTTCTGCCAGCCCTGCCTGCTTCCCAGGAGGTTATCTCGTGCGCTGGTGAGGCTGCGTGAGGTGGGAGTTCTTGGGCTTGCTGAGCCCTTTGTGGTGACTTGAAGTTCTCAGATCTCAGGGACTCACCTGAGAACTTGCCAGCTCAGATTTTGAGCTGTCAGCTGCTGCTCTGTTTCAACCAGTGACCCTGCCGAGGCAGCCTGACCTGCCAGATCGGAGGTGTCACCAGGAAGGATGAGCACTTGCAACGTAGCTGCAGACATTTCGTTTAAAAATCGGTGCCTGCGCCTCCTTTTATAGGGGCTCATACTCACAGCTTGGCTTTCCCAAGATTTCTTTGTTTCCCAGAAACACGATGCTGTTTGCATAAATCGCTGCTTTGCGCTGACTTTCAGGACTTGATGGCTGCCAGCACTTGGCCACCTTGCCCACATTGAGTTCCTTCATCCTCCTCCTCTGTTGACCTGTTTCTGCGTGTCCCCAGTGTGGGGACAGGGACGGACTGTTCTCTTGTGCAGTGGCTAGCACGAGGATGGTGCTGCTGGATGCTCAGCTGAGGGCATAATTTCTGAGGACAGTGATGGATCCATCACCTACACAAGTGTAGCACCATCCACACTGCTGTGGTATGACTGCTCGAGTCCTCAGCCAGAAAAACTGCAGGCGAGGGGTGGAACAAAAATTTGGAAGTAGTCTCATTGTCACTTTTACCGATGCGCTTCGGTTCCCCAGCTCTGAAAACCTAGCCATGGTCGCCGGTGAAGCAAACCCGGGGCAGGAGAATGGGAGTGGTACTTCTCCCGAGGTCCAAACCCATGTGTTCAGGTGGGCTCTACCTCCAGCATAGGCAGAGGGAAGTGAGGAAGAGCAAATGGTGCTGAGGGAGGAGGAAAACTCCACAAGAAAGTGGGCACAGAAGAGGGAAGCAGTTCCCATGCCCATTTTGCTCAAAGGTGCGAGAAGCCACTGCAGTTTTCTAGCTCATGCCTTCATCAGAGCCTTTCCGAAGAGGTGCTGGGTAGCCCAGGGACATCTGTACTCCCATTCCTGTTTCTGTGTGTCCCTGCCAGGAGGTCCGCTCGGAGGAATGACCTGTTCGTTCAGGCCCGTGATGGTCTTTCCACCCGTGCTCCCCTGGTCTCCTGCGCTTCCTCCTTCTAGAAACGCAGCACCTGCTCCTGGACTGACTTTTCTGATGACAGATTTGTATTTTCTTGGCAGGAGCTGAGCGAGTTAAATTCGACGACAGTGAAGAGCCCCACCAACACTGTGGCAGTGCAAAACCTCAAAGCCGGCACCATCTACGTCTTCCAGGTGCGGGCGCGTACTGTGGCCGGGTACGGCCGGTATAGTGGCAAGATGTATTTCCAGACCATGACTGAAGGTGAGTCTTCAGCTGCCCCTGCATAGAGGTGACACAGGGTCTAGAGAGGCTTGAGCAAGATGGAGATGCATGGGCAGCAGCGGTGGACCCTCGCTGTTAGTCCCTTCAGGGCTGCGTTGACAAGTCACGTGCGTTTATTCACCTGGCGAGGTGTGGAGGGAGCTGTGGTCTGCATCATCTAGGCCAGTGTCTGCCAGGCTTTTCTGGGATGGGGACGTATCCACGCAGCTGGATTCGGAGGGAATGAAATTTATGATTTTTGTGTGCACAGCTGCTTGTGACAAATACAGACCTGGGTCTTTATTTTCTAAATTTGTGCTGCTAAATCAAACAGGCCAAGCCAGTTTTCTGGCCCTGAGGGCAAGGAGCAAGGCACAGCACGCATCCAGGGGACTAAACTTTTCACCTAAAAGTGATAGCTCCACCCAGCCTTCCTTGCTGGGGCACGTGCCCTGTCCTAGCCAACCTGAGCCATGCCTGGGACAACACGAGTTGGCTCAGACCACAACCATGCCAGGCAGCCCATTAGCAGTGGCCATGCAAATGTGGGCAGCACTCAGGACCATGCTCTGACCTTGATGAGCTCGTTAGGGTAGATCCATCCTGCGCTGCAGTAACCCCTGCCCTCTTCCTTGTGTGCCAGCCGAGTACCAGACCAGTGTCCAGGAGAAACTGCCTCTCATCATCGGCTCCTCGGCGGCAGGAGTGGTGTTCCTCATCGCCGTGGTCGTCATCGTTATTGTGTGCAACAGGTGGGTCGGTCTGAGCACAGGACCTGGGGCTGGGGCTGTGCAAGGGGATGCTGACCGGAGGCAGAGCGTGGCAGGGGGAAGAAGGGAGCAGGAGGGTGGAGGGGGAAAGAGATGCCACTGCAGCATGTCTCTCGGTCCCAACGGGCTCAGGCTGGTTCTCAGGACTCCCTTTCTTTCCAGAAGACGGGGCTTTGAACGTGCTGACTCCGAGTACACTGACAAGCTGCAGCACTATACCAGTGGCCACAGTACGTACCGCGGCTCCCCGCCAGCCCTGGGGGTCCGCTCTCTCTTCGGTTTGTGTTCCTGTTCACTCATTCCTTGCGGCGTGCGGGGAGGGCTCAGGACACCTAGCCGGGCAGGCGTGTGCGTTTGTAGACAGGAGGACCTCCGTGCTGTCTCAGTCCCCTGTGGTCTAGGTTCCTGGTCCATGCTCTCCATGTGCTGTCGAGTGGGAACCTGAGCATAGCCTGCAAACCTCTGGGATGCTCCTGCCAAAGCCTCAGTCTCCTGCGGTGCAGCCCCCGCTGCCGCACCGTGTCTGGCTGCTCTGAGCTTTGTGCAGCTCGGTGGTGGTTGTGGCGACTCCTTCCCCCACCTCCTGAAGGGTCCCGTCCTTCTGCAGGAACCCATCATGTGCCTCGTGGTGCCTTTGCTAGAGCCCACCCCAGTGCTCACAGAAGCCTAATAGATACAAGATATATGTATGTGTAGGGATGTAATGCAATACCTAACATTCCCTCTCTTGCAGCCTCCCTCTTCCAACATCCCTGTGTACTGCAGGGCACCCCCTCACATCCAGCA